TCAGTGGTTCTCATTATGGTACTTGGCCAGTTGCATCTGCAGCAACTGATAACTTGTTAGAAATGCAAGTTCTTTGGTGCCAGCTGAATAAGGGACAGGGTCAGGTGATCTCTAGTTTGACACATCCTGCAGGTGATTCTGATGTACACTAAACTTTCAGAATGATACTTTTAAGCATAGTGCAACAACAATGATAATATAGCACATTTTAGGATTGTTAGAATGATTAAATATATTACACATGTGAAGATTTTTCTAAATCGTATTTTAAAATCATTGTTAATGCTGGGTTACTGTTGCATAACATAGAGTTGTGGGATAAAAATGCTAAGTCACTTTGCGATTTTATCAAAACCACCTTCACAGAAACTTTAAAGAAGATTATTTCAAATGAAAAAAGAGACACCCAAATCTCTTGGATGTGTCAAAAGCAACATTAAGGGGAACACTTATAGCACTAAAACCTACCTCAAAAGTTAGAGTGGTCTCAAATTAAGGCTGTAACATCATCCCTGGAGGAAATAGTAAAACATGAGCACACTAACCCAAAGCCAGCAGAAGAAAAGAAATAACTAAAATCAGATCAGGACTAAATGAAGTTGAGACCCAAAAATTCAAACAAAGAATCAATGAAACCAAAAGTTGTTTTTGGAAAGGATAAATAAGATTAATAGACCACTAGCTAAGTTAAAGGATAAAAGATCCAAACGAGCACAATCAGAAATGACAAAGGTAACCTTACAACTGATCTCACAGAAATACATAAGATTTTCAGAGACTATTATGAACAAAAATTGATAAATATCTGGAAATACACTACCTCCCAAGATTGAATTAGGAAAAAATTGAAAACCTGAACAGACCAATATCAAATTCTGAAATCGAATCAGTAATATAAAACTTGCCAACCAAAACAAACAAACGAAAAATCCTGGTGTTCTCACACTGCTACCAAAGACTGCGCAACTTATAAAGAAAAAAGGTTTAATGTACTCACAGTTCCATATGGCTGGGAGGCCTCACAATCATGGTGGAAGGCAGAGGAGAAGCAAAAGCTTGTCTGACGTGGCAGCTGGCAGGAAAGCTTGTGCAGGCGAACTCCCATTTCTAAAACCATCAGATCTCACGAGACTTATCCACTACCATGAGAACAGTATGAGGAAAACCCGCCCCGTGATTCAATTATCTCCACCTGGCCCCCAACTTTGACACCTGGGGATTATTGCAATTCAAAGTGAGATTTGGGTGGGAACACAGCCAAACCATATCACCTGGACCAGATGAATTTACAGCCAAATTCTCCCAGACGTACAAAGAAGAGCTAGTACCAATTGTACTGAAACAATTCCAAAAAAACCAAGGAGAGGGACTCCTCCCTTATTAATTCTATAAAGCCAGCAGCACCCCGATACCAAAACCTGGCAAGGACACAGTGAAAAAGGAAAACTATAGGCCAATATCTCTGATGAACACAGACACAAGAATCCACAACAAAATACCAGCAAACCAATTGCTTGAACCTGGAAGGCGGAGGTTGCAGTGAGCAACCACTGCACTCCAGCCTGGGTGTCTAGAGGAAAACTCTGTCTCAAAAAAAAAAAAGAGAGAGAAAAGGGACTTAAAACAGAAACAGAACTACCAAACTGCCATTGACCCAGCAATCCCATTACTGGACATATATCCAAGCAGCACATCGAAAAGTTAATTCACCACAATCAAGTAGGCTTCATTTCTGGGAAGCAGGGATGGTTCTATGTATGCAAGTCAATAAATATGATTCACTGCATGAACAGAATTAAAAGTAAAAATCATATCATCAGCTGAGTGCTGTGGCTCACACCTGCAATCCCAGCACTTTGGGAGTCCAAGGAGGGCAGATCATTTGAGATCAGAAGTTCAAGACCAGCCTAGCCAACATGGTGAAACCCTATCTCTACTAAAAGTACAAAAATTAGCTGGACCTGGTGGCAGGTGCCCATATCCCCAGCTACTCAGGAGGCTGAAATAGGAGAACAGCTTGAACCCAGGGGGCAGAGGTTGCTTTAAACAGAGATCATGCTACTGCACTCCAGGCTGGGTGAAAAGAGCAAAACTCCATCTCAAAAATTAAAAACCAAAATACAAAGAAACCAACAAAAGCATATGATCAGGTCAATAGAGGTGAAAAAAGCCTTCTTTGAAATCCATCATCCCTTTGTAATAAAAATCTTCAACAGACTAGGGATCAAGGGACTATATCTCAAAATAGTAAAAGCCATCTATGACCAATCCACAGCCAATATCATATTGAACTGGCAAAAGTTTTTGAAACACGAACAAGACAAGGATGCTCACTCTCACCACTCCTATCCAACATAGTACTAGAAGTCCTTGCCAGAGCAATCAAGCAAAAGAAAGAAATAAAAGGCATCCAAAGAGGAAAAGAAGAACTCAAATTATCTCTCTTCATTGATGATATGATTCTATACTTTAAAAACCCAAAAAATTCCACCAAAAGGTTTCTAGAACTAACTGATAAATGACTCTGGTAAAGTTTCAGGATACAAAATCAATGTACAAAAATCAGTAGCATCTCTATATGCCAATTATGCTCAAGCTGAGAGCTAATTCAAGAAAATAATCTAATTTACAATAGCGACAGAAGGAATAAAATGCCTAGGAATACATTTCACCAAGGAGGGAAAGAATCTCTACAAGGAGAACTACAAAACATTGCTGAAAGGAATCATAGATGACACAAGCAAATGGGATCACATTCTGTGTTCATGGATTGGAAGACTCAATACTGTTAAAATGACCGTTCTGCCCAAAGCAATCTACAGATTCAATATTATTTCTATCAAACTACCAATGTCATATGTCATTTTTCACTAATTTGAAAAAAATTATTCTCAAATTCATATGGAACCAAAAAAGAACCCAAACAACCAAAGTCATTCTAAGCAAAAAGAACAAAACCAGAGGCCTCATATTACCAAACTTCAAACTATACTATAAGGTTACCAGTAGCTAAAACAGCATGGTACTGGTACAAAGACAGACACATAGACCAATGAAACAGAATAGAGAACCCAGAGATAAAGCTGCATAGCTACAGCCACTGATCGTTGATAAAGTCAACGCAAGTAAGCAATGGGGAAATGACTCCCTATTCAATATATGGGGCTGAGATAACTCACTAGCCATATGTGGAAGACATGAACAGACACTTCTCTAAAGATGACATACAAGCAGCAAACAAGCATATAGAAAATGCTCAATGTCATTAATCATCACAGAAATGCAAGCCAAAACCATGATGAGATACCATCTCACACCAGTCAGCAGACTATTACTGAAAAGTCAAAACGCAACACATGCTGATGAGACTGCAGAGAAAAGGGAACACTTATACACTGTCAGTGGGAATGTAAATTAGCTCAGTCTCTGTGGAAAGCAATTTGGAGATTTCTCAAGGGACTTAAAACAAGCCAGGCATGGTGGCTCACACCTGTAATCCCAGCACTTTGGGAGGCCAAGGTAGGCAGATCACCACAGGTCAGGAGTTCAGGACCAGCCTGGCCAATATGGTGAAACCTCGTCTCTCCTAAAAATACAAAATTAGGCAGGGGTGGTGGTGGGCACCTGTAGTTCCAACTACTCAGGAGGTTGAGGCAAAAATGCTTGAACCTGGGAGATAGAGGTTGCAGTGAGCCCAGATGGTGCTACTGCAATCCAGCCTGGGTGTCAATAGGAAGACTCTGTCTCAAAAAAAGGAAAAAAAGGGACTTAAAACAGAAACAGAACTACCAAACTACCATTGACCCAGCAATCCCGTTACTGGAAATATATCCAAGCCAAAAGAAAATAAATTAAGCTACCAAAACACACATCCATTCATATGTTTACTGCAGCATTATTCACCATAGCAAAGACATGAAATAAATGTAGGTGGCCTTCACCGGAGAACTGGAAAAAGAAAACGTGGAACTTCTATACCACAGAATACTATACAGTCATAAAAAATAAAAAAGCTTTTTCTTTACAGCAACGTGGATGTCTCTGAGACCATAATTAAAAATGAATTAATGCAGGAATAGAAAACCAAATACCATATATTCTCCCTTACAAGTGGGAGCTAAATATTGGGTACTTATGAACATAAAGATGACAACAATGGACACTGGGGATTATAGAAGGGGAAGGCAAGGATGAGCGGGTACTACGTTCACTACTACCTGGGGGATGGGATCACTCATATCCCAAACCTCAGCACCATACAATATATCCATATAACAAAACTGCAAATGTACCCACGGAATCTAAAATAAAAGTTGAAATTATTTTTTTAAAAAGAAAGTTACTTCCTCTAACATCCCGCACTTGATGTTAGATCTTGCACGGAGTAGGTGCCCCAGTAAAGCATTATTGATGCCGGCAAAATGACTGCTGTCAAGAAAGGTCATAGGAAAGTAATTTATCTCCTGTTTTTTACCATGTTGCCCAGGCTGGTCTCAAACTCCTGACCTTAGGTGATCCACCCACTGCGGCCTCCCAAAGTGCTGGGATTACAGGTGTGGGCCACTGCATCCAGCTTGATTTTCTAAACAAGAGCTTTAGAGTCGATTCATTTGGATTTTCCATGTATTCGTGTATCTCATTTGCTAATGACAATTTAGCTTTCGATTTTTATAAATCATTTCCTTTCTCTTGCCTAATTGCATAGGCCTGTAACTCCAAAACATTGTCAAATGTTTGTTTGTTTGTTTTTCTGATTTTACAAGAAAAAATAATAAACATTTTATCAGCTTTCAGCAGAGATGCCATACACTTTCTGTACTTCCCAATCCTGCGGTTTTTTTTCACTATCACTCTTTGTCCAGTATCTTCAACCCTGAAAGTTCCTTCCATTTGTTTAAAGATAAAAAGCAAAGTTCTTCATGGCCTAGGAAAAAAATTGTAGCGGAGGATAGGGCTAAAAAGGAGCAGGCTGTACTCTACAGCAATCGCCTAAGCAAGGGGTTAGAAAAAGTTTCCTGGTCCCATAGTTACCCTTTAGAAGGAAGAACCAGAGCTTGGGGAGGAGTCGGGGCCACGGGGCCACCCCCGCCCCAGCCCCCCTGCCCGGCGTCGTTGCCACCCGCGGAGATGAAATGTGAGCCTGGGTGGCCGAAGACGCCGGAGTGGCCGCCTTCCCCGCGTCTGAGCGCAGTGGGCCAGACAAAGGGACCTGGGCCCCAGCGCAGCCCATCGCGGGCCACGCGCGCCCCAGCTCCGCGGAGCCCCGCACTCGCCCGCCCGGGACGCGACCAGCCCGGGCTCCCTTCGAAGACTCCCTAGGCAATGGCCGCGTCTCCGCTCCACCCCACTCTCTGGAGCGCTGCCCCCTCCATCTGATCGCCCTCCATCCTCCCATTCCCTCCGGTTCCGGGCTCTCCCTTCGCTCCAAGCTTCTTCCTGGCGCGCAACCTCAGGCCACCGGCTTGGATGGACGCGCCGAGGCTGCCCGTGCGTCCTGGGGTCTTGCTTCCGAAGTTGGTCCTGCTCTTTGTCTGTGCAGGTCAGTGACAGAGGGCGGCGGAGAGGGTCAAAGGCGTGGTGCTGCGCTTGGGTCACGGTCTGGCTAACGTGGTGGAGCTGGACGGACCGGGACCTTTGCAGAAGGGCAGACATGGTTTGGTCCCTGCCAGAGCGACGGCAGAAACCCGCGCACTTCGACCCTCACGCCGTTTTGTTTTGTTCCTTTTCCTCTAACCTTTCCTTTTTGCGTTTCTTTTCTTTTCCTTTCCACCTTGGAAATGGCAATCTAGCGTTTAGGGGCTTTGACTCTCTGGTAAGGGTAAACTATATCCAAATAAACTTATCTATAGGCTAGGCACTGGCCTCTCCACCTTCTGCTTTCTGAATATTCCTGGTTTCTTCTGTTACAAATGAAAAGCCTTAGAGCTTTGTTTTTGTTCTTTGGAAGATTCACAATTGTGGTAGACTGGGCTATTGGGTGCACTGAAGTCAAACATAAGGTTTTTGAGACGCATGAATTCACCCAGGGTCTAATCTGCGTAAGTAGATTTGGATAAACACTTTTCTATAAGAGAAGAGCATCTCATTTCCCTTCTAATTATTCGTAGTAAGAACTGCTAATAATTAATGAAGCAAAGTGGGTTTTCTTGTTCTGTGATTAATATGGAACCCCAAAGGGCCTTTCATTGGTTATTCAGGTATAAAGTTTCTTACACATTTGGTCTTTGAATCAGTTCATATTCACAAAACAATGCAAGCTAAAAGCAGAGTTCTTTGTAAAATGTTTTTGTGTCTCTAAAGTCCTATGACAAAAATTGCAGGCTCACCCATGACCCTCCAATACTAAATGTATATAGAGCACTGCAATTTACCTTTGATACTCGAAAAGATGCAGCAGCTGAAATGATGTTCTTCAACGTTGTACCTGAGCATTAAAAGAATTGAATTTCTCATTCAACCTTGATAGAAAAGTCATCATAACTGCTGTAGACATTTTCAGTCTGTTTATTGAAATGCAAATTAGTGGCTGTCTAGAAGTTATCATTTTAAAGATGTTTTATAGCAGGCAAAAATGCTCACTTTCTAACATAGAAATTCCTAAAAGTAGGATAAGTCCTTCCTATTGAATGAAGAGAATTTACATTTAATCTGTTTATAACATTTATTTATTTTATTAAATTTATATAAGGTTTTCAGAATTTGAGGGATTAACAGTCAATTGCATTAATATTCGTTTTCTATTGCAAAAATCTCTTTATTAGTTCTTTCGAAGCAATTATGCTTTTCACCTCCTCTGCTCGACAGTGTGTAATACCTTCACTCACACATATTCAAACCACTCCATTGAAGCACAATTTTATTTGTTTCCTTGTTATATTCTCTGTGGTAAACTGAAAGCTTCTGCTTCACACATCTCTCTCCCTTCCTCCTGTTGTCCTAGTACTAGGTGCCCAACTCCTCGGGGCTCAGTAAGTCAGTGAAGCCGGCCAGCTACAAGGATGGTTAGTCTAGAAAGTTTTCAGTCCATTCATTTTTCTTCTTTGAAATCCCTCTCCAGAAAGCTACCAAGTAGCTGTAAGCCAGTGCTAAGAAGTGTTTAGCTAATAAGCTCTTTGGTTTCAATTCCTGTACTTCTTATTCAGAGGTCTTTTCATATTCATTCAACTATTACTTATTGAGTGAACTATGTTGAGTCGTAAGAGGTCATGTTCTTATCAGTCTTCTCTGGGAAGTACGGTATGATCATAAATTAATTTAAGGTATAAAAGGTTGTGTCGTAGGTAAAATCATGCGCTATAGACGTTCAAAGAAGAAGACTTTATTGCTGGCTTAAATGAGTAAGCTTCATGAGAAAATGTTTATTTTGTTCAGCAAAAAGATCAATCAATATTTGCTCGGGAAAACTGAATTGAGGAAGACTTGAAGGAACTAGACCTTTGAAAAATAGAGAAACCCTGGACTAAGCGAGATGGAGTAGGATATAGCAGGATGTAGCGTGAACAAAGGCAAAAAATCAAGATCTGTACATTCAACAAAGGATATTTCAGTTTGGTAGGAACTAAGAGATTGGCTGGAAGGAAGGGTTGAGGTTAGATGCTGGAACACCACGGAAATCAAAATAGATCATGGTATTCAATGAATTGCCAGCTTTATGGGACAAAAATCTAAGTACATGCACTGCTCATAATCCAAATTATTTTCCCCAAAGCAGATGCATTCGATTCACATTTCATTTGGCTAAACAAATAAGAAAAAGGTTTCTATACCTGAAGCATAATGTTGTACCATAGAGTTACTTTTGGAAGGAGACCCAGTGAAGTGTGGATATTATTATCTGACTCCCACTGCAGGCTACAAAGGCAGGATTTGGTCAAGGTTTTACCTTCCAGACCTCAGCCAGTAATTCTGTCCCTTCCCTTTCCTTCCTCTCTTATCTCAGCTATAGCTTGCAAGGGCCATTTCTAAGCAAGTGCTTCAAGCCAGATACTGCTTTTCCTGTTCTGCAGATTCCTTAAGGTGGGAGGCAGGGGTGAGTTAAGGAACCTTCTTCCAGACCGTACCTTTCAGGAAAAAGTCATTGAAGAAAGTTTGGCTGATTTTCAGGGACACTAACTTGAACATTAGAAGTAATATTATTTATCTTCCGGGACAAACTGGAATGATTTATTGTTTATCCAGTGAGAAAAAACTACTGTATGGCGGGAACACTATCTATGTCAAATTATTCTCAAGTAACCCAGAGAAAGCAATTAACATAAAAAAGGCTTTGAGGTATGGTTGAAATTTCATTTTGGAGAGGCTGTGATTGTGAATGTGTTTGTCATTCTGATAAATCTCCTCTTTTGGGCAGTTTAATTCTGGGAAGTAGACAAGAGCACTGGAAGATGCCATAAAAACAATGACCAATGTGTAAAAAGATCAAGAGGTTTGCTGCAGGTATAATCCAGCTTCTTGGCTACAAGATTTTGGGTTTGGTTTCCTGTAACATTGGCTCAAAATATTTTGATAACACCCATAGGGTAGTCACTGAAATAAAATGGTAGTAATTGAATCTTTGATATTCATGGAGAGTTTAATAAGATGTCACTGTCCTGGGCATGGTTCAAAAGGCACCCATGAAGTTACTTAGACATAGGTTGTCCTACTCTGACAGAATAGTGAGGACATTAGCTCTCTCACAGTCAGAATGGCTTTTATTTTATTTTTTGTAAAATAATTTCAACTTCTTTAATTTTGAACTCAGGGAATACATGTGGAGATTTATTTATGGGTATATTGTGTGATGCTGACGTTTGAGGTATAATTGATTCCATCACCCAGGTATTGAACATAGTACCCAATAGCTTTTCAACCCCTCCCCTTTCCCTTTCCAACTCCCTCTAGTATTTCCAGTGTCTATTGTTGCCATCTTTATGTCTGTGATTAGCTGATGTTTAGCTCTCACTTATAAGTGAGAACATGTGATATTTGGTTTTCTGTTCCTGCATTAATTTGCGTAGGATTATGGCCTCCATCTGCATCCATCTTGCTGCAAAGGACATGATTTTGTTAGTTTTTTCTGGCTGCATAGTATTCCATGGCATATATGTACCACATTGTCTTTACTGGGTCAGCTATTGATGGACACTTAGGATGACTCAGTGTCTTTGCTATTTTGAATAGTGCTTTGATGAATATACAAATGCATTTGTCTTTTTGATAGAATAATTTATTTCCTTTTGGATATATAGCTCAGCAATGGGATTACTGAGTCAAATGGTAGTTTTGATTAAAGCTCTGAGGAATCTCCAAACTGCTTTCCACAGTGGCTGAACTAAATTCCACTAACAGTGTATAAGTATTTCCTTTATCCACAGGCTCACCAGTATCTGGTTTTTGTTGTTGTTGTTGCTGTTTACTTTTTAATCATAGCCTTCTGGTGGGAAGTGGTATCTCGCCATGGTTTTGATTTGCATTTCTCTGATGATTGCTGACTTGGTGACTTATTGAACATTTTTTTGTTGTGTTGGTTGGCTGCTTGTATGTCTTCTTTTGTGAAGTGTCTTGTTAATGTCCTTTGCCCATTTTTTAATGGGATTATTTGGTTTTTGCTTGTTCAATTATTTAAGTTCCTTAGGGATTCTAGGCATTAGGCTTTTGTCAGATATATAGTTTACAAATATTTTCTCCCATTCTGTAGATAGTTTATTTGGCTGTGCAGAAGCTCTTTAGTTTAATTAAATCCTGCTTGTTAATTGCTTTTGTTGCAATTGCTTTGAGGACTTAGTTATAAATTCCTTCCCAAGGCTGATGTCAGGGAGGGTGTTTCCTAACTTTTCTTATAGGAGTCTTATAGTCTGAAGTCTTTCACTTACATCTTTAATCTATTTTAATTTTTGTATACAGTAAAAAGTAAAAAAATTTTGTATACAGTAATTTTTGTATGGGTCCAGTTTCATTCTTCTGCTTATGGCTAACTGGTTATCCCAGCACCATTTACTGAATAGGGAGTCCCTTCCTCATTACTTATTTTTGCTGACTTTGTCAAAGATCAGATGGCTGTGGGTGTGCATTGAATGGCTTTTAAGAACACGAAGCAAAACATCCCTGCTAAGACCTTTGTATAACTGACCAGTCTAAATATTTGAATAAATTAAACAGCACTAAAAATGAGAGCTATGGAAATTCACCAAGAAAACTGTAAATTAAACAGCCTTTGAAAGTCTGTCGTACTCTGCAAAAGGCATTTATTGTCAATATATTGGCTTCTCCCTTGTATCTAAATCATTAGATTGTGTTTCTGTCTTCAAATTTTAAAAGTGGACTTACGAACTTATTGAATCTCACAAAGGTAATTATTTTTCTCTTTCATTCCTTATTACCACAATCCAGAGGTAAACCTCAAGGGTCATGTTTGTCAAGCTATAATGTAAAAATAAAATTGAGTGGAAGAAAATATGAACTTTTCCATTTGTTCCACAAAAGCCATGCATAATTGTTAATGGTGACTGAACTTTGCTGCCTTTTAATCACATCTCTTTGTAAAGAATCATCTTAGCAGGGAAGTGATTTAAAGGCAATGTAACATTTCCTTTCTGGATAAATCAATTACATAGACATGTAGACATAAATATATTTTGTACTTTGAATGTTACAGCTTTGACAGGAAAGCAAAAGTTTTATATGATTTATATAATAATATTACCTTTAGGAATTGAGTTGGACATGGATTATTTTGTGATTCTTAAATGTACAACCTAAATTTTCAGACTGTACTTTATGTTTTCCTAATCATATATCTGAAACTTATATAGTCATCATAATTTATATGACTGAGTGACAACCTTAGCATGTTAAACATAAATCATTTAGGTGGAATAAAGAATACTCCAAAGCTTGAGTAATTTTTATCCAACATTTTTAGTATAATTTTTCTTGCTGAAAAGTATATGGAAAAAATAGTAATTGCTGATCCTTTACTCAGAAAATAACTCTTTTCCCTTTACATAGTACTGTTTTATACCTTATTGATTCCTCAATCTGACATTAAGTAAACTCTTAATTATTTACAAAATAATTGTCTATGGGGATTTCTTCCTATAACCAATCATCTTTTAATTCAAATGAATTTACAGGATGTGGACTCCTTGTGTTACCATATGTATGCAAACTGTAATTTTGAAGGTTAAAAAATGGCACAAAAAGAAAAGCATGTAATGCACCATCATGGAAAATATTCATCATTTCAAAATTATTCCTTTTTGGTATTATCCATGCAACTAAACATTTCTATTAATTGAGGTTAGTTGAGATTATAATACCCTAAAGTTAGAAGAATTTTTGATTTTTTTGGTTTTATTTCCCGGGCTGGAGTGTAGTGGCATGATCTCAGCTCACTCCATCTCCTGGATTCAAGCAATTCTCCTGCCTCACCCTCCTGAGTAGCTGGGATTACAGGTGTGCACCACCATACCCAGCTAATTTTTGTATTTTTAGCAGAGACAGGGTTTTACCATGTTGGCCAAGCTGGTCTCAAACTCCTAACCTCAAGTGATCCACCTGCCTTGGCCTCCCAAAGTGCTGGGATTACAGGCATGAGCCACTGCTCCTAATTAAGAAGACTTCATCATTTAAAAATTATTTTAAAACTCTATGGACAAATCCAATGACTGAGTAGTTTCATTGTTCATTCCTTCCTTCATTATCCCATTCAACTAACCTGACTAGCAATTATAGTGCTTGGTGTAGAAGATTCAAGAATTGTCTATGTCTTTACAGCTTAGAGTCTAATGGGAAAGAGAGGCTAGTTTAGATCCTTACAAATGTTTTTGATCCTGAGGATGAAAATGAAGATTTAAAACCACTGAAGAGTGGTCACTGGCTGATTAAGATGTGAAATAGAATAATTTTTCCTGAAACTGTTATTTTACAACCATAACTACTGCTCACATGTGGTTTCTGTTTTGTAGATGATTGCCTTGCTCAGTGTGGCAAAGATTGCAGATCTTACTGCTGTGATGGAACCACGCCCTACTGTTGCTCCTACTATGCTTATATTGGGAATATCCTCTCGTGAGTATTAGTCAAATTTGGCAATATTGATGCTCTTCCTCTTGTCCACTTGTCCAGTTATATTTTTAAAAGGTACTAAGTGATAGTTGTGGGCAAGAGATTTCAATACTGGTTATTGACATGAAATCTTTACTGGAGATATTAACACATAGCTATCTAATGGGCTATGTTATTTGAAAAATATGCAAAATAATATACAAAATAAATTGCCTTCATTATAAAGGAACTAAAAAGAGTTATTCTTTTATTATTTTACTTTGTCTACTTTAATAATATTTAAGTAAACATCATTTTATTGATAATGTTATAACATCATCAGTCATATGGTTTCGTCTGTTTTGTTGAAAGATCTGCAATTAAAATTTGTCATTTAATTATAGCCAGTTTATTTTGCCATCATGTATTAATTTAACACATCCAGTAGATGTCAGGAAAAAGAGAGGGTATGAATAAAAAACAGTTGAAACATGAACTGTCAGTTCTCACATAATACATATACAGCAACTTCAGGAAACAAGTTTAGAGCCTAAAGAAAGCTGGGTATGAGTAATGCAAAGTGATAAATAACAAGGCACGCAAACAAACAAAAGACACATGGGGACTGTGTCTATGTTAAGCATTTCCTTGCTGTGTTAAGCCTGTCCTTGTAACAAATTAGAAATTTATTTTAGAGCTGCTTCTGGACAAAGGAAAATGGAGAAGCTGAACCTGCCTCCAGGGTTGTATGTCTGGAAAAGTGTGCACTTGTCAGTTCCTCAAGAGAGGAACCCACAGCTGAGAAATAAAAGGTTGAGAATTAGGAACATAAGAATTTATTGAGTCAAAATTCCCATGATGTTCAGATAGCAGCAGCGGTCATGCCTGTCTTCTGTTTTGTTTTTCAAGTCCGTATCATGATGATTTGGGAAATGTTCTGTTCCCAAACAGTTCTGTTTAACTCATGCCTACAAAGGCTCAATAGGAAACAGGAAACATTAGGCGCTAAGTCATATGTGCCCGGCTATTTTAGGGACGTGTCCAATGAGACGGCTTATTACACATTCTCCATTTCCCGAGAATAGAAAACCTGGCACCACATAAACCTTCTAGAATCAGTGTTGGGGCTGATATTAGAGACCATGACTCTGAAAATACAAAAAAAAAAAATTATACTTTGGGATACTCTTGAACACTATTACAGATGTGAAAGAAATGTCAAGCTACAATAAAAAATCATGTGTGGGATTTAAGCCTTCTTTGAAATGCAAATAAGCTCTAAAAATGTTTACATTTTTCTTCATGGGTAGTTTGGTAGAAAAGAGATTAAGCCCACTTCTTACATTAGAAAACTGTCCGGATGACTTTTTACAGAAACTCATCAGCTTAAATATGGATATATAATGATGTTTACAGTGGTATATTATTTCACAGTGTTTAAAGGAACTTAAAATATATCATTAATAAATTTAAATTTTGTTCTCAAACGGTCTCCACATGCCAGATGCTGCTGTCCCTGGTAGAGGTTAAGTATAGATTTGGAGAATGTGAAGTCAAAGTGATTCTGGGATTCTTTGGTCATCTGGCTCTCGGCCTGTCTCTCAGTTCACTAACTATATTGTGGAGTGCGTTGTGCTCCCTTTCTCACTCCGTAGCTACCTCCACCCTGGTAAATAGGTATAACTCATAATTACTTATTAATCAGAATATTTTAACATATTTGAATTTACAGATGTACTTGTTATGATTTACATTTGCAGTGAAGTTCACATTTTTATATTCTATGTTTATGTTCTATATGTTTAATTTCACCACTGGTTAAAGTGAAGAATTAGGTGAGTTGATGCATTGATCTAGGTTATTAGGACCAGGTACTTGTTATGTTTGGGGGAAAAAAAATCATGTTTCAGAAGGGAAAATTAACACAGATGACATTATATTTCAGGCAGTTATAACTGAACTTTGTGTTCAAACTAGAAACCACTGAGCATATCTCATGCTAAACAATTCTTAGCAAAAAGAAAGGTGGGGCGGGGGAGACTTTAAAGTGTTTTCCCACTGGATACAAGAGAATACATTTTCAGGATTTCCAGTTATTGTTTAACATTTGAAAAAAGAGTTCTTTGCTCCACCCAAAGTGTGTTTTTCTTTTTTTTTTAAATTGGTGGTTGGGGATATAGTACGTAGGAAAAAAGTTAATTCCAAGAATGCTCACAAGGGTTCCTTTATACACATGTTTTCAAGTATTTCTGTTTTGAAATTCGTAACGATGCTTCCTCTTTTTAAGCATCCAGGCACATTCTTAGTGAAATCATTTTAATTGTCGTAACAAAAAGTTAAACCCTTGCAGTTATTAGAAAAGTAATAAGGAAGAACTGAATCACACATTGAAATGTTAGGAAACCTTGGGAGGCCAAGGCGGGTGGATCACGAGGTCAAGAGATCGAGACCATCCTGGTCAACATGGTGAAACCCCGTCTCTACTAAAAAGACAAAAAATAAGCAGGGCATGGTGGCACGTGCCTGTAATCCCAGCTACTCAGGAGGCTGAGGCAGGAGAATTGCCTGAACCCAGGAGGCGGAGGTTGCGGTGAGCCGAGATCGCACCATTGCACTCCAGCCTGGGTAACAAGAGCGAAACTCCGTCTCAAAAAAAAAAAAAAAGAAATGTTAGAAAACTATTTTTATAATTTGGTTTATTTTTTGTTTGTTTTTACAATAAAAATGTTTGCTCAGTTTAAAATGAGCTAAAAAGAGAGCAAAATATAATTTGGGCATTTTAGAGTGTTTGTAAATTGGTTGGGTTAGGGCCATTTGACTGTCCTTGCTCATTCCTTCCCTTACTGAAATAATCAGAGTTGCTGTTTAGCCCTTAATTCTGTTAACTTCAATTGCCCTTGCTCTTTTGCAAACTAACCATTAAGATGTGTTTATAAAGCAGTCACAGGAGCTAATTTAGTTGAAAAGTCTTATTTTACTCAGTTCGCTCTCCTTATTTATTTATTCATTTAATTTTTTGAGACAGAGTCTCATTCCGTCACCAAGGCTGGAGTGCAGTGGCACAATCTCAGCTCACTGCAGCCTCTGCCTCCTGGGTTTAAGTGATTCTCATGCCTCAACCACCCAAGTAGCCAGGATTATAGGCGGGTGCCACTGTGCCTGGCTAATTTTTGTAGTTTTAGTAGAAAGAGGTTTTCACCATGTTGTCCAGGCTGGTGTTGAACTCCTAGCCTGAAGTGATCTGCCCACCTCGGCTTCCCGAAGTGCTGGGATTACAGGCGAGAGCCACTGCACCCCACAATCTCATTTTTTTTTAAAGATGCTTTCTATTTTAAATAAGAGTTAATTTTGGCAAATAAATTCAGGTGCCATTTTTCTTTCTTATTGCTGTCAGGAATTTTAATATTTACTTCTGTCTTACGAAAAACTTTGAAAATTAAACTTAAAAAATAACATATCTACTTCTGGTTATTATAGTCACAGATACTATAGGAGTATAGTATAGGAGAATTAGTGTTATCCAGAATTTAAGAATAATTTTTACCGTATTCAGCATGTTTAGTTCAGTCATTTAATTATTTATAAATGCATATTGTGTGCCTGTTACCATGGCAGTGCTGGCCTAGGTCCTGGGATCCAAAGATGAAAAGGAAGTCAGAGTCCTCTTGGATGTCCAAGACCTCAAAATCTGATAAGAAAAGAGAGCATAGACAAATAATTCTAATTTGAAGAGCTAATCTATGAAGTATTATTGGAGAACTGGAAAGCTAAGTCTGTCCGTGTGTGTGTGTGTGTGTGTGTGTGTGTGTGTGTGTGAGAGAGAGAGAGAGAGAGAGAGAGAGAGAGAGTGAGTGTGTGTGTGTGTTTAGGAGGAGATATTTAAGGAACACATCATAAACATGGAATCTGATAAGAGTTTTGAAGGAAAAGTGGATATTTAAGTAAATAGTGAAGAAAAGTAACATGCCTTTTAGACAGACTATTGCATACAAAGTCAAAGATATAAGAAAGGAAATGATCCAATTGAGAAAGTCCCTATTCTTCAGTGTGGCTAGATGGGGCAGGGGTAAACTTTGAATAGAATGTAGGAATAAGTAGGTTAGGCAAAAGATAGATTCTTTAAGGACATCCTTTTATTGGTCCTGCCTAGCAGAACTAAAACAAAATAATTCAGTAGTTTTCTGGAAATCAGATATCTGGTTTTATATAGAACGGGCACATTCTTAGACATCATCAAGACAATAGATAGGCTGGGCGCGGTGGCTCAAGCCTGTAATCCCAGCACTTTGGGAGGCCGAGGCGGGTGGATCACGAGTTCAAGAGACCGAGACCATCCTGGTCAACATGGTGAAACCCCGTCTCTACTAAAAAGACAAAAAATTAGCTGGGCATGGTGGCGCATGCCTGTAATCCCAGCTACTCAGGAGGCTGAGGCAGGAGAATTGCCTGAACCCAGGAGGCGGAGGTTGCGGTGAGCCGAGATCACGCCATTGCACTCCAGCCTGGGTAACAAGAGTGAAACGTCGTCTCAAAAAAAAAAAAAATGACAATAGACAAAGATGAGGAGGCTCCGAATGCAACTTCTTTTTATTTACCCCATAGGTGAAATATGTGAAATGCACACTTTGAGATGTTACACTATTTGAAACCATTTATGACGAACTATGTTACCTTATAATTATTTCTCCATTTAAGAGATTTCTGACCATGAGGGCAACTACCTGAAGATAGAAGCCTCTGAATATTTAAAAAGGAGAATTGGGTCAATTTGAGAAATAAGCAATTTCCTAGCAGATTGATTCTCAAACATTTCATTCAGTAACTCTGCTTCATGGAAGATATTCTGTGATGAATATGGAAAGGGATGTTTAATTTTTTGCTGTTAATGAAATTTAATTGGCATTCCCCAGAAAGTAGATCCAGCATAAAAATGGGGTTTATAGAATACTATTTAGTATTGGTAGAATTCAGGGGAATCGAGGGTGCAATTGAGTGGCTAATTACTGTTATCTAGTGGAACAAGATGAACACAGAACTGAAGTAAAGTTCAGGAAAATGAAGGTAGTCTCTTTTGTAAGAGAATAATTGTACAATATTGAATACGAACAAAACAATGACTAGTTTGGATATAGTGAGCTAGATGACATTTAATTTAATTTAATTTCCTAACTCAAAAATAGATTTTGCTTTTCTACTTTGCCACTGTAAAATACTGATTGGTCTGTGGATTCTTCAGAGTCCCATCTGGCCAACGTAAAATCCCCACGGGAAAAAAAAATCAAGAGGGAGAACTAATAATGGAGACCCTGGTGAGATTAAATTTCTTTTCTTCTCAATGAAATGTGAAAGATGTATTACCCACAGTTTTGCAAAGACAGCTGATAAATATCACAACTGTGATTTCTGAGCCATGCTATGCATGAAAGCAAAACTCAGTTAAAAGATAAAGGTTTCATATTTTCAAATGGCATTTGAGGTCCTATGATCATTAAGTAGCTTAGTGTTCTCTATTAAACAGGTGAGAGTATTCAAACACTGATGAACATAATGCATTTAAAAAGGCCTTTGGCATTGGTTAAAAGAAATAATATGAATTAATTAAAATAATGTTAGTACTGAGATATGAAAAAACCTTTAGAAAGTACATACTGAACAAATCAAAGTATGTGGGAGTCTTATTTTTGTTTCAGTAGCAACACAAAGTAACTAATATGATGTGAAACTAAACAGGAACTTGATTTGAAATGTAGCAACAACTTATGTTTGCTGGAAGAAAGAAGTCAGTGATTTTTCAGATGTATATTTGCATTCTATGAGTTGTTGTATTAAAAACAAATACAAATGTGTAGACAGCTAAAATTTTTCTATGCTATTATTATTGTCTTTGTAAATTAAGCCTAATTGTCAGAAACAGGATTGGGTGTTAGGAAGGAAAAATAAAGTTTCCTGTACATATTTTCAACAATTTATTTTATAGCTATGTACAGTGATCTACATCAGGTTCTGGAGGACATAGCCATGAATGAAACATGAGGTTCCTGCCCTTGACTTGCTTAGAAACTACTGAGGACTATAGATACATCAGCAGATAACTGAACTTGCTGCAGGAAGCACAAAATCCAGTGGGATCAAAGCCGAGGAGCGTTTATTCCAATTTTAGCGTGCTGGGAAGGTTTCTTAAAGAAGAGTAATTCTAAGATCAGTTTTAAAAGGAAAAGCAATTAAAATCATCACTCAGAGTTAAAACGCTTAGCAAACTACGGATATAGAAGAAAAACGTTTAACCTAATAAATATATTTTTCAAAAACCACTGCCCTATCTCAGGCACTGTAATCAATGGTATGTTGGTATAACCCTTCCCTTTAAAGGCAAAAATAAGACAAACTAGTGCCTTCTCCCACTTCTAGTCAGCATTGTACTGGAAATCCTGGCTAGTGCGATCAGCAAGACAAATTTTTAAAAGGTAATAAAAATTAGAATGGAAGAAAGTAAATTGCTCTCATTTACAAATGATTGTCAGTATTCTTCAGACTATTTAAAAAAATGGAATTCACCCAAATTGCAGGATATAAGATTAGTGTACAAAAGTAGTTTATTCCTATATACCAGCAACACTCAATAAGAAAACATAATATATATGTGCATAATACATCTAAGATACAATATTTAAAACTATAATATATCCAGTAGGCAATCCAGTAATAATATATGCACTTGGGGAGTATTATAACCATGTAAAAATTATAAGGGATAAAGAGAGACCTAACAAAATTAAGAGACATATCAAATTGTGGATGCAAGTATTATAAAGATGTCGATATTTGAATATGGCAGTTCTTCCTGAACCGTCTGTAAATTCAGTGCAAATCCAATCAAAATCCCCAGGAACGTTTCTGTTGAATTTGAAAGAACAGGCCTAAAATTTATGTGGGACAGTAAAGAGCCTGCAATGAGAAAAGAGTTATGAAAAAGAACAAGGTCAGAAGATATGCCTTACAGACATCAAGATTTATTATAAAGTTATAACAAATAAATTGTGTGATATCGGTTCACAGATAAACCAAAAGAATATGGAGCTTAGAAACTGACTGATGTATATATGGGAACTGGATAGATAATAGAAATGGCATTACAACCAGTGGAGGTGGATAGATTATGCAACAAGTGTTGCTAAAACAACTAAGATCTATATGGATAAACATTAATTGAGATCAATTCATCACTCCACAATCAAAAATCCACTCTTAGACTAATTACATAAAAACAAAAAGCAAACATTTATGTTTTTAATAGGAGGAGAATAGCATTATGGTATCAGGATAGAAATGTCTAAAATAAAATATTGAAAAACACAAAGGAAAAAATTACTAAAAAATGCTGAACTCTACACTTTACATGGTGAGTTTTATGGGATGTGAATTATATCTCGATTAAAAAAATTTTTAATATAGAGAACAAAGGAATTCCTAGATAAAAAATACAAGGCAAAACCCCACTTGGAGAAGGTATTTGCAGTTCATATGATTCACAAAAGATTAGTAGCCACAATGCCTCAATAGGATAGTGAGCAATGTGTGTGCACAAAAAAAAAGGCATAGAGCAGAAACCTTGATGGTCCATTAACCAGTGAAAGATGCTCCACCTGGCTAACTAAAGCAGGCGAAAACAACTGAAAACATTGAAATACCATCTCACACCCATCGGACTTGCAATAGTTCACGAGTCTGATAGTTCCAAGCAATGTGGGCAAAGATAAAAGGGCTCTCACATTGTTGATGGGAGAACATGAACTGTTCCACTTTGAGAGCAATCTGACCCCATGTAGTAAAGCTGAAGATAGATATCCTTTAGGATTTAGCAGTAACGCCTCTTCTAGATATTTTCCCCAGGAAATTTCCAAATATGCACAAGGAGACATTTATACTGTTGGTTGACATATTATTTAAAAACTAACAAAACTCTGGAAGCAACCCACACCTCCATCAGAAGACAGTGGATAGAGTGTATTCATGCAAAGGAAACAGCAATTAAAATAACTCGATTCATATTAACATACCTTTAGAGTAATCTCAAAACTAATAATGCTGTATGAAGGACTAACTGAAGAGCAATGTGTACAATATGATGCTATTTGCATCACGTTAAACACATAAAATAATTCTGAAAACAGGCATATGTCGTGCATATGTAAATATGTGAGGGAGAGACAAGTACTCATGAATTTCAGGATTGCTCAAGACTGAGAAGTTTCCAGGGATGCAAGACTTTCAATGAAGCAATCTGGATGGTCCTGGGCAAACTGAGACACATGGTCACCCTAGGGAGGAGTGTGGGGAAGTGGCCTTCAACTCTGATATTTCATTGTTCAGTCAGGGTGGAGTGCCTCTGCTTGGGAAGCTAAGGTGGGAGGATCACAGCTACTCGGGAGGCTGAGGTGGGAAGATCACTTGTGCACAGGAATTTGAGACCAGCCTGGACAACACAGCAAGACCCCATCTAAAAAAAAATGTTTTAAATTAAATATTTCAAGAAAGTATAATTATTAACATGTAACAAATCTGGGTAGTGGTATGTAGGTGTTTTATTATAATTCTTATAATTTAAAAAAAAGCAGTGGAAAAATTTGATGATAGTTGTAATGGAGTCACCTGGACACCTTGTTAACATGCCAATTTGGATTTGGTAGGTCTGGATAGGGCCTGAGATTCTGCACTTGTAACCAACTCCCAGGCATTCCTGCCACTACCTAACTTTCCAGTATACTTGGGGAGCGAGGGTGGGTGCTATTTGACAGTGTCTTGTGCTACAGGATAAAAGGACAGAAGAGATGAGTACTTGAGGACTGATGGGATGTGTGGCTAAGGATTGGGACTAAATTAGAGGAACATGTCTGAATTAACTCTGAAGTTTCTGCTTTGGATAAGAGGATGGATGGCGTGCCAGGAACTAATGGGGAATATTCAGGATGGTTTGGAAAGGGAAATGAATTCCACTTTCAGTACATTAAATGAGGAAAAGCCTCTAGGGTATGAACCAAATTCAGTGAGCCTCAGTTGGCAGAATGTTCCATTATGTAGCTCAGTAGAGAGCATGAAGGTCTGGGAGTGAAAAGCTTGGAGATGCTGGGGTCGAAAGGTGTGTGGGAATAAATGAGATATTCCAAAATGAAGTATAATAAATAGAACAGCAAACCAACAACAGAGCCTCAAGCAGATTCAGGAATACGCCGTGATTTCTCCCCTCTTTACATTTGGATACTATTTTAGCCCTTCTCACCTCTGTCAAACTGATCTGTCCTTCACTAATCAACCTGAATACACTCCTTGTGGTAGTGGGGACAATGAATGCCTTTATTTTCTGCTATTTGCTTGTTATGTTTTAGGTTATACACAATGTAGGATTTCTGATATTCCAGTTCATTCTGAATTGAATATGTTACCATAGCAAAGCAGTCTATGTGAGAGTCCTTTTCTTTTTTTAAGACAGAGTCTCACTCGGTCTCCCAGGCTGGAGTGCAGTGGTGCAATCTCGGCTCCCTGCAACCTCCGCCTTCTAGGTTCCAATAATTCTCCTGTTTCAGCCTCCTGAGTATCTGGGACTAGAGGTGGGTGCCACCATGCCCAGCTAATTTTTGTATTTTTAGTAGAGATGGGGTTTCACCATGTTGGCCAAGATGGTCTTGATCTCTTGACCTTGTGATCTGCCTGCCTCAGCCTCCTGAAGTGCTGGGATTACAGGCATGAGCCACTGCTCCTGGCCCGAGAGTCCATTTTTATTTACTTGGATTGTTGTCCACATTAGATTACTTCATATCTGTTCATATAATTTAGGTTTAAAAGCTACTTTAAGGGCCAGGTGTGGTGGCTCACGCCTGTAATACCAGCACTTAGGGAGGCCAAGGTGTGTGGATCACGAGGTCAAGAGATCAAGACCATCCTAGTCAACATGGTGAAACCCCATCTCTACTAAAAATACAAAAAGTAAGCTGGGCATGGTGGTGCATGCCTGTAATCCCAGCTACTCAGGAGGCTGAGGCAGGAGAATTGCCTGAACCCAGAAGGCAGAGCAGTTGTTTGCAGTGAGCCGAGATCGCGCCATTGCACTCCAGCCTGGGTAACAAGAGCGAAACTCCGTCTTAATTAAAAAAAAAAAAAAAACTACTTTAATTAGATAGAAATCACAGTTGAATATTATAAAAGAAGGTGTGTTTGGTGGCAGCAGAAATTGCTGGAAGAAAGAGAACTATCATTTATTTAATGCATTCTCTGTCACCGAAACTAAAACCTTGTAAGTTAATTAACCTTCAGAACAGTTCTTGTGACCTACGTATTATTCCCGTCCGTTCAGATGAGAAGGATGAGGCTCAGAGTAAAATCATTTCATATAGCTGCTATGTGAGGAGCTGGCATTTAAAATGAGACATACTTGGCCTATTTCTGCCACTCCTCATTGGCTCCTGAAGATCTGAAGAAGGCTTCAAGATGGGATGAGTAAAAATGATCCATTGCTGTCCTTATGAAGATCTAAACACTGTATTTTGGAGGGAACCTTTTTTTACCCACTATGTCTGAATATGATTCCCTGCTGTATGCTGCTGTTGCATTATCCCTTCTCTAGTTGATATGGTTTGGATTTGTGTCTCTACCCAAATTTCATGTCAAATTGTAATCCCCAATGTTGGAGGAGGGGCCTGGAGGGAGGTGATTACATCCTGGGGGTGAATTTCTCCCTTGCTGTTCTTGTGAGCGAGTCCTCATGAGATCTGATTGTTTAAAAGTATGTAGCCCCTCCCGCTTCATGCTCTTTCCTGCTCCAGCCATGTGAAGACAAGCCTGCTTCCCCTTCCCTTCTGCCATAATTGAAAGTTTTCTGAGGCCTCCTCAGTCATGCTGCCTGCACAGCCTGCAGAAACATGAGTCAATTAAACCTCTTTTCTTCATAAATTACCTAGTCTCGGTATCTTTTCCTAGTAGTGCCAAGACTAATACACTATTCTGTTATTATTTATCAGATTTTTTATGTTCCTTAATTATCTGTCTGCCCTTCCACACCCCAGATCTGAAAGGAGAAGAAGCCTGTTCTGCCAACTCACTATTGAAGCCACAGGGCCTAACAGACTGAAGGATCCAGAATGGATCATTTACATGCAGATCATTTCTTCGTTTAAACATGAAAAACCTGACATTTTGTGGGTTCTAAATTATTATGCATCATCTGGAAAAATATTTGCTCAGCAAAATCAAACCATCATTTAAATGTGTTATTGTTTCAAATAATATCTTTTCATAGAATACAGATTAGGTGTCATTACAGAGCAAAAGGAGTGATAGGATCAGTCACCACTTTCTAATCACACCGTTTATGATAAATTGTAATCAGATGAGGGAGACTAGAATTGAAAAGCCAATTTGATTATAATAATTTAACCTCCCGTCATGTTTCTGGGTTAAATGTGCTCTATGAATGAGGCAATATGATCTGCCAGCCTGTGACTGTTAAGACAACAGGCTCCTGGGCAACTTGCTTTCATAATTTTTGGAGAGAAAATGTTTTATTGATAAAATTGAGGAGGGAAGACTGACACACACCCAGTGATTTTTTACTCCATTATATTGGAAGAACTCTGAGGGGCAGCTGCAACCCGAACACAGGGTCTCCCAGCTGTCTCCAAACGGCAGGATGTTAGGATGTACACACCCATAACTAATGAAAATTTCAGAGGGTGATGGTAACCCCATAAAGTGTAATAGGATTCCATCTGAAAGTGCTATGGGTGAAAGCCTCAGCTATTTAGCCAATAGTAACTCTCTGTCTTAGAAACAAAGAGAATTTGTAGTTTCAATATTCATGGTTACAGAAAGGAGAGGAAGAAAAAGGCCCTACAGGTAACAAAAAAATTTATGTCTTTGCACAAATCTGACAAAAACAGGAAAAAAATGACAAA